GCGCCATCGCGGGCTTGCCTGGACCTGCGTTGCAAATTTTTCTGATCGCAATGGGGTCATCTTTAACCCTGAAGGGGCGATAATAACCCCCCTGGGATGATAAAGTTCGCGGTTCCCGCGGGGATAATAAGTTATGATGATGGCGATGATGATGGTGGCGATGATGGAGAAGGAGGAGGAGGTTAAACAAGGCGCGCGACAGAAGCTTGATTCGAGCGATCTCGAGGCTCGCGGCAACTTGCCCGCGGAGATTACTCGAGAGATCTCGAGGCTCGCGGCTACTTGCCCGCAGAGGCGCAGGACACAAGGCTGACTCGAGCGATCTCGAGACTCGTGGCTGGGCGCCTAGATTTTGCCAGCGCAAGAGAGGTCCTTGGCCGATCTGGCCAAGAAACCCCTCTGGCGCTGGACTTCGAACTACTCTCCCATGCAAGCGCGGCATCCTTTGGGGCCGTCCTTGCATGGGGAGACACTTGGTGCAAATGTGGGCGTCGGCACTAGCCTCCACGTTGCTGCCGTCGGCTCGGCCGCCGTGGGGCCCTTGCAAGGCTTGGACTCGTGCTTGGCCTTGGCCTTGGCTTTGGCCATCGCCGCGTCGTTGTCGCTCGCCTCCTTGAGTTGATTGATGAACTCGTTCTTCCGAGCGACCACGGCGTTGAGATGCGCTGGCGTTTGGCGGCCCTCGCCGCGGATCTCGCGCAGGGCGCGCTCGGTCCAGCGGCTTGCCCAGAGGCCGCAGCTCCAACCTTCAACTTGGCATCGTCTGTTACTCGGTGCCGGGCAATGCTCGCCTGGGCCAATGGCGCCGAGCTTGCGGAGGATCCTCGTGGCGGCCTCGGGGGGCCACGTGCGAACCCTACCCGCGATTTCTGAGGAGGAGGAGGGCGGGGTACACTTCGCTTGGCAGCTCCCGAGCAAAGTGAACCCCACCCTGCCCCCCCCCAGAAATCGTGGGGCATAGTCGTGAGTTCGCATGTGGCCCTTTTTGGCCTGCTTGGCGTTCTCGGGCGGCTGCTCGAGGGAGTCGCGGTAGTCCACCTCGACGCCGCCCCCGTCGATCCTCGAGACCTGGCGGGAATTGCCGCGCGTGCCCCTTGCCCAGGGCGCCTCCAGGATTCGCCCCAAACCGGAGCGAAACGCTGGGGGCACCCTGAGGCGGGGGGGGCATTGCAGCAACCGCCGACCTTGAGGTGCGCGTGCTGCGCGGGCGCCTCGGAGTGCACGCAGGCCAGCGCGTGCTGGGGTTTGTCGACCCTCTCGGCCCAGCGTTTCTGCTCCTCGGGCTGCTGTGCGGCGGGTGCGTCCTCGCCCTGGCCCTTTTGGGCCCAGGCGACGGCCGCCGTGGGCTCGACCGCCAGCGCGTTGTCGGGGACGCCCACTCGCTCCTCGATCTCGCCCAGCAGCGCGCGCGCCGTGCCCAGCTCGAGGGCGTCGCCCTTGACGATTTGCTCGCTCGCAGTTCATGATCGCGTACTCTTTGGCGAGCGCGGTGCGGCGAGCGTGTCTTGTCTGGCGTCAATCGAGCTTCTGC